AACATTTTATCAATTAAATGAACTTTCAAAAATATTAAATTGAAAATTTTGAATTTTTTATTTTATATTTTGATTATTACTAACAAAATAGTTATCTATTAATCAAACTAATATTTTAAAATATTTACAGTCTTCAAGTATATTTGGTCAATTTGAAAATATAAGGGTACTCGTATATTCTAGAAGAGTGTTGACTTAGGTGTGTTTCAATTGACCAAAATCTAAGTGTAATTACTCATCTGTTGTAAAAATAATTGTAATTACTTGTAAATGAAACTTCGATGTCTCAAGTCAGTAAAAATTACATCAAAATAAGAATGCTTGTTAATATGACAAATGACGACATCAGTTATATGTATAGAATCAAAATTAGGTCAGATTATTTAGTGCACATGGGCTAAGGATTCTCATGAGTAGTAATATCATATATATCTTTTTTAACAATATATAGGGTAACTTTACTCCTAATTGATGTGTGATTCATTTGTTCTTAAGTGTAACTTAAGCATTCAATACCCATAATTTGGTTTCGGTCTATTACGATAATCTAGAGTTGACCTAACGTTTAGGTACATTGATGTAATGATATGGATTGAGCTTAGGCTAGTATTGTGAAAATAATAATTACATCAAAATTATAATTTTATCCATAAAATTATAATAATTATATCATGATTCGAACCTTAAAGTTACTAAAACAGTCCAAGAAGACAAACCCGTGACATATGCCTGGATACATCATGTAAGTTTTCTTTTTCATTGAAGCTTGTAATATTCATTGTTAATCATTAATTGTGAAATATGCACATAATTTCTATTTAATTTAAGTAATTATTAATATATATATATAAATTATTGAAACTAAACACTAATTTTAAATTTAAGGGATTAAAAATAAATTTATTTTAAATTTAAAAAATTAAAAACATATTTAAACCTTTAAATTATAAAAATATTATAATGACCCGTTGTATTATGAATTACTAGTAGCGGAAAAATACAAATACAATTACTTAGGATTAACATATGTATAACACTATTAAATTTATCATAAATTTATTTTTATTTTTTAAATTTAAAATTATTATTTTTAGTCTTTATAATTTTTAAAAATATTATTTTAGTTCTTCAATTCATCAATAATATTTAAAATTGAAAATTTTAGATAATAATGTATCATCAATTATGTTTATGTGATATTTTAATTAACAGAGACATTTTTATGCTATAGGATTTGATAGATTTTTGAACAAAATTTAAATATAAGAATTAAAATAATATTTTTTGAAATTATTGAAACTAAACACTAATTTTAAATTTAAGGGATTAAAAATAAATTTATTTTAAATTTAAAAAATTAAAAACATATTTAAACCTTTAAATTATAAAAATATTATAATGACCCGTTGTATTATGAATTACTAGTAGCGGAAAAATACAAATACAATTACTTAGGATTAACATATGTATAACACCTAGATATACAAGCCATAATATATACATATGTAAATGTTTCATAACATCTAGAATAATGCAATAAGTATAGAAGTACATAAATATGTATAGTAATCCAACATTAAAATAGTAATCTTAAATTGTTGATCAAACAACATTACTAAACAAGTTACACTAAGATTTCTTAAAAAGGTTAACATTGTCATCAACAATATCACCTCACAACATCTCCACCTCCAGTCTATCATTGTTTTGCCTCACAAAATCACAATTCAACCACAATAAAACATATAAACTTAAGCTAGTAATTCAAAATAATCAACAAGTATAGCAATATCATATAACTATACTACAACATCAACATATGAACCACTCAACTAGACATATCATTATTCTCAACTTTTTCCAACACAACAACACGAGATTCAACAACCATTTTAAGGCAAACAACTTAACAATACAACAACTTCAACTTGCATCACAATAATGCAACACATCAATAGTTTTACAAAGCATATGAACAACACAACCAAATCCACACAACATAACAATTTTATGTGTCATCACGCATTCAACCAAGAAATCTCTTACAACACATGTGAACAATTTAACTGGTTTGACCTTATCGAATCAATAACATGATCTTTTCAATACAGATAGATCAACAACTAATTTGGATAAAAATTTACAACAACAATTTCTCAAATTTTACCTTTTAAACTAAGAAGGTTTAGTATTCTTGCCAGAGTATGACAACTTGGGTGTGGACTCACCACAACGTTATCATACATAATTAAGTATTTTGTAGGATTAGTCTACCAAATATCCTCTAAATACTATATCCCTTCCAGTACTTAGTTAAGAATTTTGACCTCTTACCTTGTACCTTACTTTAAATTCTCCACTTTATACACGTGTGACTTAACCTAGCCCCTATACAGATCAACATTAGTCCCTTTATAATCAATATAGTTCGACTTGAATCCTGTAGTATGATCACTTTATAGATGGTATGTCTCGACCTTGCTCACATAGTGCATCAACTAAGATCTTAGATGAGATTCAATTATCCACTTTAAGAGTTAACTACTCAACAAGGATTTTCAACAATTGGATTTGGTAAGCACCACAACAATATCCTCATAATGGGATATCGAACTTTTAAAACAAATTCTCTTTTAGTCATAAGTTAATAATAAAAAAAATCCAACACCATGCCTTAAACATTATCAACTCAACCACCACAATGTTTCAATATACAATTATCAATAATTTAATCATCAATATACATTATCCCATATCAACGTATAAATATCTAGCAATATACAATAACATACAACATATAATAGGTGCAACTAACCTATGTATGTTCAAAACTTAGGTAAGAAAATCACACATTTTCATTGAGATCGGATCGAATTTTTATTTTCTTTACTGCTTATACTTGCTGTATTATTAATCATGTTGTTTAAACTTTTATATCAAATATACATTAATTACGGTACCACCTGTTTATTACATTTAATAAAAGAAATGTTAAAGATAGGATAAATAAATTAAAGAATGAGCAAGTGCAAGTTACGCGTTATGATATTTGCATATGCAAAGCAGGATAGTGCGTTTAACAATTTCGAATTAACAGAGCCAATGATTGTGATGTTGAAGTCTCTCATGTTAGGGCATGCTCAATTCTACATACCAATTCAAGATAAATTTGGAGGTTATACGCAATCTTATCTACTCATCATTTGTTGCACATTTCAAAATTACAATGTTTGTGATCGATTTAGTATGCTATTAAATTGTAAAAATAGTTATACTACTGAAATATAAGTACAGAATACTTTATTTATTGTTTAAAAATATTATTAATTTAAATTTGGAGTCTCTCTGTTTTTTAAACTGCGAAAGGCAACCCATATCAAGATATATATGGCACAACACAACCAATCCCAAATCTCAATTCTATAATTATTAATGTTTGAATACATTTCCCACATCCCACTTTGCCCTTTTTCATTCACATCTTAAAAGCACGTTTCTCACGCTAGATTGCAAACTCCGTTTCTTCTTCCAAGTTTTTTTAAGCTTAGTGTAAACAAAAGCATCACACTTTTTAAACACACACATATATATATATATTTTATGAAGGGAATACCAATTTTGTGTAAAATAACATAATGAAAAGAGACTTCTTATACCATGGAGCAAGAAGCAAATATCATGTTAGAACTATATTGATGGAAGGTGGCTTAGTTCCATGCACGCCCTTGATCTTGGTTCAACAAGGGAGACTCCAAAATGGAGGTGATGTTGGCGGAAGCACAAATAGATGATGGTGAAGATGGTTTGCTCAAGGTAGTATCATCCAAGTGTAGGATGAGACCTAAGTAGGGTTTTGCTTTTATGGTGGAGATGGAAGGAGGTTAGCCAAAGGCAACCTAGAACTATGGAAAGGTTGGTGTTTAGGGTGGTTGAAGGTGGCGCACAAGGTGAAGGGAAGGTGTTTGGTGGAGGTGATGCTCCTTTTGGCTAGCTCACTTCACTAGGGTGGTGAAGGCCAACCAAGGAAGGCCAAGCTCACTCACTCACGGTGGTTTAGGGAGGAGGAGAAGGGAGGGGCCGTGGAGTTCCTAAGACTAAGGAGAATGACAATGAGGCAAGAATGCACACTCAATATCACTATAATCCAAAGTATTTACAAGTGGTGGGGTGTTGGGTATTTATAGGAGGGGAGGCATCTAGGGTTGCATTTGGAGTAGGCAAATGCATTCCAAATGAAATGCAAATGAACCCTAGATGCAACTTGGTGCCCAAGGATGGAATCTATGGGTCTAGATTGGCTACATCAAGGTGCATGATAAGATCATGCAACCTTTGACCTCCACTTGGGCCTAAGCCTTTCTATCACCAAAAATAGGTCCAATGGTCACCAAAAATACGTCACCTCCTAATGGATGCACCCTAGTCCAATTAAAGTCCTAAGCATCTAAATTACCCCATAATACAAGGGCAAAATGGGAAATACAAAGAAATAAATCCTATGACTAAAATACCCCAAAATACAAGGGTAAAATTGGAAATACAAAGAAAATAAATTCTATACCTAAAATACCCCTAAGGTAAAATTTGGAAGTAAACATAGTTAAGGCCCAAAAAGTAGGCTTATTCCTCTTCATGGGTTTTCAAGTCTAACCCATTCCTCTTGCCTCCTTCAAAATGTCACCCCTTGGGCTTCGTGGCCTTATTGATATTCCATCATATATGTTCACCTAGAAAATTATTTACACCATAGATCTACAACGCAAATAATTTTATTTATCCCTTAAAGCTACTCAACTAGTTTTGAGTGCCGACAAATCTTTCCTAAGAATTGGTCATTACTTAAAGTTAAGAAGAATCATTCGAGCATAAAAATAATGAATGAACGAGAGTTAATTCTGGATTTCACAACCTGTGTCAAATCTTTGTTGCAACTTTCCATTTTCCAATATTTTTTTTAAAAGAAAAATAAAGTATTTTTCAATATAAAGACGCATATTGGGTTTGGCATAGTTTCCTTTTGTCCCATGCTCCTAACCATAGTATAGTACTTTGCAATTGCAACACCACCATTTATGCATCCCACTCTGATAAACTAGTCTCTCATTTTTCCTTTTCTTCTTGCAAAACCAACCAAACAGTTCAACACATTCATGGAACCCAACTTGGGTTATTCCAAGATGCTCTTTTTACTCCTTTGTTCCACTTCATTATTTTTCCTCTCACACTTGGCTTATGCAGCAACTCCCAAGCTCAACTCTCAAGAGGGTAAGTAAAACTCATTCCTTCTCTCATTGATGTTCACACACTCTTTGTGTTTGTATAATTGTCTCAGATTCAAATCAAGTTCATACTTCATCAGATTGGTTTACAATCCTTACTACTTTCCCATGTTTGTTGGAACATGGAGCTGCAAAGTAAGGCAGCGTCAAAACTTGTCTCCCTAAACTCTTTTCTTTGGATATGTATATATATATAT